CCACGACGCGCAATGCTTACTAGTGTTGGAGACAGTTAAAGAAAGTGAGGAAGGGTCAAATCTGAACTTGACATCAGTCCTTGAAGTCACTAACTTCTAGTCTGAGTCATGTTGGTAGATGCAGACTACTTGGTTGGGGTCCGCGTGACTATAGTAACCAATGTTTGGAGACTCTGTGTGGCATGTCTCAGAATCGATCACAATCGCGTAGGTGTGTGCACTCTTTTTCTTTCCTTAAACCGTGAGATTAAAATTGCTGTATATATTCCTTTCTACGAACTAATTATTACTTCCTTTCTATGTCCTTATATGCGATGTTTCTTTTATATGTTACCACCATTGAATTAACTATTTCTGTAAATTTGGTGTTGATCTTGTTGTGCTAATGAGGTATGGCAACTTAGACCAATGCACAAATGAGCCTGATCCTACGTTGTAGCTGGCTGACGGGCGGACGGAATGTTTTACATGTTAACCCTGAGTACTTTCTTCAATTAACCATTTAATATAGAAATAGTTCGTCAGTAATACTATATCACTTTTAATTGTGAAACATTATACTTTACAATATATTTATTTCACTGGTTGAGATCATGACTCATTTGAAGCTAGATCACCATGGAAAACCTGGAAACAATGGACGGCCGTTTCGTCCTAGTGTGGGACTCGTCATCACTGCACATCCACGATACCGCCTCACGTAATTCGAATCAAGGACCTATCAGTCTCGCGCACGTGCGCTTGAAATCTAGACCACTGAGTCGGTATCCAAAGGCGTTAATGTCTAATTTCAACCAATCCACGAAGTTGAGTTACCATCAACCATTGTCATCAGTGAGTTACTATCTCACAACAAACCCGATTAAACTCCACTGCTCACGACTTCTCATTAGAACTCCAGGAAATACCTTTTGAAACCAATCACTAGTGAACAGGTGATTATTATTATTATTAGAAAGGGTTTTTGTGGAGATTTTTTAGAAATTTCACTGGTTGAATACATGAGTCAATATATTTATTCCTAACCTTTTTACACTATTTTGATATTTTCTATAACAAGAAACCATTCAAGTAGGTTGTATTGATCAGCTTTTTGTTGTTGGTTGAATTATCAACAATTGAATAATGAATTCTATTTTATATTTCACTTATTATTATAGTTCATATTGTCAATGTTAGTTTATGTCAGTAGTTATTTAAGAAGAAAAAAGAAAATCTTTTTGATTTAGGTCAGCTGAAACCAATAGTTGTCAGGGAGCATATCGTTTTTTTCTTTTCATTTGGGATATGCCTAAATTATTACTAAATAGGGAAAACTATATTTTTTAAATAAAATTCATTGCGATGATATAATTAATATTGAAAAAAAAGAAAACTAGGGACTGTTTATAGCAACTATCTTATAACCAATCTCGATTATGGTTACATGTTGGTTAAGGCCTTTTATGAACTTACTTAACAAATAATGTTATATTTGAATAGTAACAATTCGTCTATTTCTTTGTACCGCTATGATCACTAGAGTACACGATAGACTCTAGTTAAAATGTTGATCGCTTAAATATCACTCGATCCTTCATCCTCTCCCCCAATGTATGTATGCACTCAAATCCTATTATTAGTCTTTGTTTTGCCTTGTTACGCTCTTATGCAATTCGACTATAAATTTGCCTATACAATTGCTCGCATATACATGTTCGTCTCTCCTATTCAAATTCGCTTGATGTGCTTATAAATTTGTGATTTATGTTATACACTGCTTCTCATTGGGTTCTCATTTTAAACACCATTGAGATTCATATTATAACGGTTATGAAGGTGATCAATTAACGAAGCAAAACCACTTTATATTCAATTAAACAAATTTGATAATTTGTTGTGTCAATAAGAAATCATTTTAGGTTGTAATTACATTTAATGAACTTAATATTACTTCTTTTATGACATTTGAATAGAAACTAGTAGTGAAGTCCAGGACAAAAGTTTTGTCCTATTTATGACTGTCAATTGGATGTACCTACATTTCACTGTTTTTGTTTACAATAAAAGTCTAACCTTAATCTATCACTCCGAACGTTAAACTAGTTTCCTAATGAGCTACTGAGTTCACATGACTATTAGTTTGTGTAACGGTATGGAATTTTACTTTACGGTGAGATTATAATTTATAGACGACCATTGAGCGATGCTAAAGTGACCTTGGGAATGTCCACCTACTTACTAGGGCCAAATAATGATTGTAAAGCGGTATGAATAGTAAGGGTTATGACTTACAGTTGATGGTCATGGTTAGGAATTAGATTTATTGTTTTCATCATGAGCTGATATCAGCTAAAATGCCACGACGCCATATAGACAATTAGGTGAATGAATTTCGCGTCAAGATCCGAGACCTGTTATTCTAAATCTGATTATTTCGTCCAAAAATTATAGTCTCGCCTAATTTACTTGTAAGGTTTTACATTTTTCCGTTGAAAGGTGAAAAGTATTGAGTTGAAGTTTCAGTTTTAACATTAACAATTGTATACAGCTCTATCCACCTAATAACTTTAAGACGGAACAAAACACACATCCACAATTCCTCTATTTTATCCAACTTAGGTAAAAACTAGTAATTAAGTGGCAATATCAAAGCAGTCGTTTCAGGATACATCCATGTCAAGAGAGACTGATCAGTTGCAATCCTCAAAATAAAAAACACGAAAGTATTTTTTTTTTGAAAGAGAAAAACACCCTTATAAATAAATGAAGTTAGTAGGTATCATTACCAAGGTTTGACTTGATAATTTCGAATAAGTTGAGCATTAGATAGTTTGCTATATGTAAAGTAAATTAATATGTTTTTAATATTCGAATGAGTAGAAAATTTAGATTTTCAGATATTTCGTAATTCAATGTAATCGACTTCTTCAGAGAATAAATAACCAAATCAACATTAATCCCAGTTTAAATAGTCCAAAAGAACAACAACACCGTGCACACGTACGCACACACACACACACACAAAACTTTACATAAATGTCGCTTACTAATCACCATAACCGAAATGACATGCTATTGATTTGTTGAGACCTGATTTTTTGATTGATCGTATATAATATTCATGTGTTGGTCCATTGTACTAAGTCATATCGTGTTATCTGTTAACCATCTCAAATAACATTGTATTTTATTGTATATCTATGTAAGAAGAAAGTGAAATTTAATTACAGTACCATTTCATAACTCACAATTGAATGAAAGTGAAATGCTTCTATTTATGAAATTTCATTAGATTAATAATTTTTTTCCCTATGAATATAATTTTCCCATGAGATTTCCCATGCCATTTAATTAAATATGTAGACAATAGACGTGTCAAATGAATTTATGTCTATAAGTAGTATATTTGTTGGTAAAAAAGTTAATAGTAAAAATGTTCTTTTCAAGTAGTATAAGAGAAGAATATTCTTTTCGATAAATTCTCTTCAGATTCTACAATTATATATATATATATATATATATATATATATATATATATATATATATATATAGTTGAGATCATGAATTAATTGAAGCTAGACCATCATGGAAAACCTGGAAATACTGGACGGCCGTTTCGTCCCAGTGTGGGACTCGTCATCACTGTGCATCCACAATCTCGCCATCCGGATGAAGAAACCGGAGCTATGCGTGTAGAATAAATATCTTCTACCAATCCTCTCTCACTGGCCAACCTCAAGGACAATTAATCAATAGTAATCTTAGCTATTAAGTGACCTAATTTGACTATTGTACTCACGACCTTTCGTAGACAATTATCTGTTATCTTTATTCACAAATCTTTGTATTATTATTATTATTATTATTATTATTATTATTATTATTGGTTAAACATCATTATTAATTTCCCCAATACATGACTCATTCACTTCGCATTCACCCTTTCTTAGTTCACCTTACTAGTTTCTCCACTAAACATTTCATCGAATTGTAATTGCACTATTATTCCTCTCACCATATCTAATCCATATTTAATTTGATCATGGATCTTAAATTTCACCTAACATATATGCAGATTCAAGTTAACATTTCATGTGAGTCATATTAACATTAACAATTTCATTATATTTTGCTTGACAATCCTACAGTTCACATGCTTTAAACGATGTACTTCACCCTTAACCTGGCCAATTTTATGGATTATTAATTTGGATATATATATATATATATATATATATATATATATATATATATATATATATATATAATTGACTCATGATTTCAACTATTGAAATTATTGAAATCTCCGCAAAACGCCTTCTAATAATAATCATCTGCTCACTAGTGACTGGTTTCAAGAAGTATTTCCTGGAGTCCTAGTGACCATTGGATTTCAACCAGGTCTGTTGTGAGATAGTAACTCACTGATGACAATGGTGGATGTGTCGATCAATTTCGTGGATTAGTTGAAGTTAGACACTAACACCTTTGGATACCGGCTCAGTCGTCTAGATTTTAGGCTCACGCGCGCCAGACTCATAGGTCCTTGATTCGAATCTCATGAGGCGGGATTGTGGATGCACAGTGACGACGAGTTCCACACTGGGACGAAACGGCCGTTCAGTATTTCCAGGTTTTCCATGATGGTCTAGCTTCAATTAATTCATGATCTCAACTATTAAAATTATACGTTATTAATTCCAAAAGAGGTCTTGGATGAAGACTAATGTGGAATCTCATACAAGAACAAAATAACTCTCTAATATTTTCTAACTTTTACTGGTTGTCTAATTTTAAATCGGTTCGTATTGTTCATTAAAAACTGAATAATCACCAAAACACCCCTACACAAATAAAGCCTTTATAACTGAAAATGACTTTTAAACTAGTTCAACAAACAGACATTGAGGAACTTGTCATTAACAACAACAACAACAACAACAACAACAACATTACTCATCTACATTTTTCCAATGTTTGTTTAAATTTTTGTTTTCTTATTTCTTTTGATCTATTAGATTTAACATCGTATGATTTAAAAAGTTTAGATCTTCAAACTAAACCAATTTCATTACATAAATTAGAAATGATGACGAATTTTACACGAAAAGAATTACAATTATTATATCAAGGATTTAAACATGTGAGTATAAATACTTTCACTTTAAACTGATCATATTACGTTTTTTACTTACTTTCTTACTTACTTAGTTACGCCTGTTACCCTACCCCAGTGGAACATAGACAGTTGACTAGCATTCTCCAACACACTCTGCCGTGGGCCTTTCTTTGTCCAATTTTTCTTCACTCTTCTCATGTCTGTCTCCATATCTCGGTGTAATGTGTTCTTAGGTCTTCCTCTTTTCCTTTGGCTTTGAGGATTCCATGTGAGGGCGTGCCCTGTGACGCAGTAGGTTGCTTTCCTCAATGTGTGTACTATCCACTTCCAGCGTTTCTTCCTCATTTCTTCCTACACTGGAATCTTGTTTTTTCTCTCCTACATTAGCTTGTCAGGGTCTAATAGTGTCTGGCCAATGGATCCGAAGTATTTTGTGTAAACAACTGTTAATTAACACTTGTATCTTCTAGATGATGGCTTTCGTAGTCATCCAAGTTTCCGCTTCATACAGTAGAACTATGTTGACATTTTTATTGAAAATTCTGTCCTTGATGTTGGTGACTGACAGTTGTTTTGAGTTTCAGATGTTCTTCATTTTTAGATATGCTGTTCTTGCCTTACCGATTCGCTCCTTCACATCTGCATCTACTGTAATACTAGATGTTCATTATTTCCTTTTGTACTTTAATTTATCCCATGGTTAAAGGTATTCAGTATTCGTCTACAATGTTGATCTACTTGTTTATTGTTTTAGTTGATATAATAAAGCCAGAACGAACATAGATGCAGAATAATATGAATTCGTTATATTTCGTGGTTTCGCATTAGCTGCTTACAAACAAATGTGTATTAGAATTTTACATTGAGACAAGAAATAGTATGGAACAATGCCCCTAAGTGAATGTAAAGAATTGGAATGACAAAATGACGACCAAACCATCCAGCTCAGAGAACAAAACTCCACCATAATGACAAAGGTTATCTATAATAACTATATATATATATATTCAAAAACAGGTCAGAGGTTATTTGGTGTTAGAATCAAGGAAACATTAAGGATGGGTGGTGTGATAGTTGAGTGGAGTTCAGAGATAAATTGTTTGATAATGATTTTAGAGTTAATGAAGGGATTGCACAAGATTCCTATAAGTAAAAACTGGTAAGATAGGTTGCATAATAATCAAAAAAGATTTGACAAGTTCACATATTTCAAGAGAATTGAGTGGGTGGAAATGTTTGAGTGAAGGAGGGGATGTTTGTTCTAGCTTTATCTAAATTTATAAAAGAAACTAATTGCAGAAAATTTATACAATAAGCTGTATTACAGATGTCTAATTTCCAAAGGAATTTTCTTTGAAAGAATCATTGTTTCTTATAAAAATATTTCATTTCAACGATTCTATTGAATTTTCAAGGTTTCATAAATTGTCTTCTTGAAAAACCAGATACACTTTGATAATAAATGGATCAGATCATTTCGAATTATCTGACATCCTACATGATTTATACTGATCCATTATGATTAGCTCAAAAATTTAGTCTTGAAGTTAACAATGTTTTCCCAACACTTGAGGATTACAATTTTACTTATATAACAGGAACCTCCACCCGGAGCCCCTTTGGAGTTGCTGCCCGTCCCAGACCTGGATATAGAAGGATGATTGAGCATAGGGTTAGAGACCCCAACCTATAGAAAACTAACTCGCTAAATAAACGCTAACAGAAAAATATTATATAATAGGATAATTACTTACTTACTTACGCCTGTTACTCCTAATGGAGCATAGGCCGCCGACCAGAGTATTCCATATACCTAAATAAATGGTTGCTGTGGTTGTCAGAAGGGGCATCAGCCTCGTAACTTCCGAAGGAATTCGGCTTTCATCATGAGGCGTCATAAGTCTTCTAAATGAAGACCTTCTGACTTCCAGGTCGGAGTTTAAAAGGTTTGAATAATTTTTTCTGATAAGTTTTTTAGCGTGTTAGTTTTCTACGGGATGGGGTCGGTAAACCTATGCCCAACCCTCCTCCTTTACCCGGGCTTGGGACCGGCAGTAGCTCCCGGAGGAACTCCAGGCGGAGTTATAATAGTATAATACCATCTGCTTACTATTATTATAGATTTTATTATGATCTATTTACAGCATCATCTAAGTAAGATTATGTGTACATACAAACAACTAGATATCTTCAACAGAAAATCAATCGATATTATGAAGAACACTCAAAATACAAATTAGTAAGGACTGGAAATTAATATTCTACGGTTCTTCATCGCTTTCAGTGAAACTGACTAACAATTTTCCGACATCAAATAGGTGGATTTACTAGTATTCTTAAAACAAATAGTCTGTGATTTAATTGAACAACCGATAATTCAGAATGTACAAGTTAAGCTTGATTAATCACTAAAGATGTTTAAACTTGAGATTTTATTCTTCATCCTCAAAATCGATTTTATGCATTTGTTCGGAAAATACTTTATTGATTATACCATCTTTAGTAAATTAACTAACCAAACAATTAGAATACATTAAATGTAAAATTACTTCATTCATAATAGTTCACTTGTGGTGTGTGCTACTAATATCGATAGATATAAGTAGTATATATCGTCAATCGAAAGTAAAATACCTGGCAGCAGAAGGCTAGGAAGATCAAAGAAAAGAGAATGAGAACAAAGAATGAGTGGTGTGAAAATGAAGGAACAATCAAATCTGAGACGATTAAATGACATTTTGCAAATGAATTATTTACTGTATAGTTCACAGAGATTCTGTAATTTTATATTGAGATACATTCGATTGTCCTCAGTTGTATTCTCATTCATTACACAAGTACCAGCATGACTTATTCTTTATGTAATGTTTAAGATAAAACCATGAACAAAGTATCCTCTGTTTATTTATCATTTAGTAGTATGACGAATATTAATTTAAATTTATTGAAATAAAATTACGACACAAAAGTACATTTAAATAATCCTTTTTAATATCAGAAAGGGGTTTTGTGAATATTATAGTAATTTGAATGGTTAAGATCATGAGTCAGTTCAAGCCAGACAACCATGGAAAACCTGGAAGCACAATAGAACGAAACGGTCGTCCAGTCCCTCCAAGTTTCCTACGATGGTTTAGGTTCAACTGACTCATGATCTCAACTATTAAAATCCTTTTTAAGTTTAAAACATTTAAGTACAAAACAATAAACATACTCGTTTCATTTTAATTGAAAGGAAAACATTAAAATATTTATGGTTAATTCAGTATATGCAAATGGGAAACAAATGTGCCCACTTAAGATATATATATATATATAGAAAACAGTGTTATTGACGTGAAGACGACCTTTTATGAAGTATAACCCTATTGATAAACACATTAAGTCTGTGAATGATTGTAAACAGTTTGTTTATATATTGTAAAAGTACTCTTATATGGAAGAATAACTATTTTTGTGTTTTTCACTTTCCATTGTTCTACAGATTTGTCCTTCAGGTGTTGCCAGTAAAGAATCTTTCATAGGAGTATATAGAAGGTTTTTTCCTAATCGTGGTATGTTTATATGATATTATATTACTGGTTAATATTTATATAGAAATTATAGTAAACAATGAGTTTGAAGTTATGCATAACCTGTGTAATATATATTCATTAATTGTGGGCACATAATTATTTTCATATTATTTTTGGCAAAATTATAAAAAAGTTACCTCTAGTTGAAAAGAAAGACGATCAGTTTAATGACTGGATGATACGGACAATCATAACTGCCCACGATTGCCCTGGTACGACTGAGAGTGAGGAAAGTCAGCTCTTCTTCTCGAAATGCTCTCAAATGGCCAAGCGTCTACAGCCACTGACAAGGAAGTTCTACTCATTGCCTTCTCGTGCTTTGTTACGACATCGAGAGGACGGAAAGCGAATGTCCGGCGCTTTAACCGGGTTGGCGGACACGGAGATTTAAAATAGAGAAGTTGGAAAACCCTGATTCCAAATCAATAGTGCACATGGGCTCCAGTATCCTGAAAGAACAAATGGTGTATGGACCGATCGTTGGTCATCGGCTACCATGGCACTGTATCTCCTTACGTTGAAAATTAGACCTTTAGGTCAAAGGTTCGGGGTGTGGCCATCTAAGAAAACAACCTGTTTCAGTTTTGTTACCCGGGCAGTGTCCTAGCCCTCACACAAATCTAATGATTTATGTGGCACATACCTATATGGTGCCTCCTTGTACCATGTTTATCTGTTTAGACAAATGAATACAATTTCAGTTGAATTTGCTCATTTATTGTACAAACTATATGAAATCATAGCTCACTATTCTTGTGACATAATAACCTAAACCTATAGTGATTCAAGTCAATGAAAATAGGTGTTTTTGATTGAAACTGTTTCCTATGCACAAAACGTACAAATATATTGTTCTTGAAGCAATTACCTTATTTCTAGTAGTTGAATAAAATTATAGAATATACTCAAAGTATATTCGCTTGTTTTAAAGAACTTTGAATTCTGCTTTGTCCATTGATTAATATGTTAGATAGTTGGATGTAATAATTCGAAAAACATGTATTTAGGTTTTGTGGTGGTTGGTGTTTATTAGCTATGTTTATCCGGAATATTTAGGAAACTATTGTTCTCAACAAGATTCGGCCGCGACTATAAGTTATGGACGACCTTTGAGCAAATCTTAAGTGACCTTGAGGAATATTGGCTAATCAGCAAACAGTCAATATAGAGTAAATAGATATTATACAAAACTAAAAAAATAAAGTGGATACACTTCTTATACATGGTTCAAAAACTTGTCAAGATTAGAAAGAGGTTCAGAGGTTCTAAAATCGTATTGGATGCAGAAGGGGAAATCATCCATATTGTAACAGAATAGTTGGCCTCTGGAGGCATGATGAAGTCGCAAAAACATTTCCAGCCTCGACCACATACCTTCAATATTGTTTGTGTGTACTCTGGTTGTTGAGTAAACAAAATGCCACTTGTGGATAATGACACGATGCACATAACCAAGTCTATTTAGGAGTATGTAGGCTCTCCAAATATTCGTATATATTGTAGTACCTGGCTGCAGCTAGTGTTACTGGTACTTTTATTATCTATTTCTCAATATTTGTCATAATTTGCCTTAGTTATGAATCACATATAGGGTTTCATCACGAACTGACATCAGTAATAATGCCAGAAATCTATTTAGCCAAATGGATGAAAGGCTTTCGCACCAAAATTCAAGATCTATTATCTTATCCCTGATTGCTTCGTCCACAAATTATAGTCTGACCGTTTTTATTTATTATAGCCTCTCAATGATCACGTTTTGTACAAAATCCCTTATGAACCGATTGTACGTTAGCATCAAGTACTGAAGTCGACCCTATGACCTTGAAATCCCTTAAACCCTTCTGATTGGCTCGTTCATAAATTACAGTCTTACTAAAAATTCTTTTCATATAGTGATATTTAAAACCATTTTACTTATTCACCTTTTTATGTTCAAATACCTTGTTAAAATACCATGAAGTTTGTCTTTTTCTTTTTAAATATCTAATTAAAACCTTCGTAAAACTTCTAGAAAAAATTGTTTGAAAAAACTATTGACACGTTTTAATTTGAACGGTTTGAAAATTTTTTTTTAAAAAAAAAACCACCTTAAGATTGTACGACATGACAGTTAACAATATGTACATTTCAATGTCATAATAACCTATTTGATATGTTTGAACATAATCATACTATATATTACATATATGTACTAGTTTTATGGTGAATGAAAACACAGTTGGGGATAATGAATTTACTATTTAGTACAAAACTATAGAATATCTTCATAAAATGTAGAACTTATTTACTTACTTACTTACGCCTGTTACTTCTCGTGAAGGAACATAGGCCGATCACCAGCATTCTCCATCCAACCCTGTCCTGAGCTATCCTTTCCAGCTCCTTCCAGTTCCTATTCATCCTTTTCATATCTGCTTCTATTATCCGACGTAATGTGTTCTTTGGCCTTCCTCCTTTACGCTTCCCTTCAAGATTCCAAGTTAGGGCTTGCCTCGTGATGCAGTTTGACGATTTGAGTAATGTATGTCCTATCCATTTCCATCGTCTTTTCCTAATTTCCTCTTCAGCTCGAAGCTGGCTAGTTCTCTCTCACAAAAGGCTGTTGCTGATGATATCCGGCCAATGGATGTTGAGTTTCTTGCGTAGACAGCTATTTATGAATACTTGCACCTTCTTGGTGATGGTTGTTGTAGTTCTCCAAGTTTCAGCTCCATACGGTAGGAATGCCTTGACATTCGCAATGAAGATTCTGACTTTCATATTGGTTGAAAGTTGTTTTGAGTTCCATATGTTCTTCCATTGTAGGAATGCGGCCATTGCTTTGCCAATCCTCGCCTTTACGTCTGCATCTGAACCTCCTTGTTCATCGATCATGCTTCTCAGGAATGTGAAGGATTCTACATCTTCCAGAGTTTTGCCATCAAGAGTGATTGGATTGCTGTTCTCCGTGTTGAATTTGAGGACCTTGGTTTTCCCTTTGTGTATGTTGAGACTTACTGATGCAGAGACTGCTGCTAGATTGACTGTCTTTATCTTCATTTGTTCATGTGTATTCGATAGGAGGGTCATGTCATCTGCGAAGTCCAAATCGTCTAATTGATTCTGAGCTGTCCATTGTATTTCGTGTTTTCCTTCAGATGTCGAGGTCTTCATAATCCAGTTGACCACCAGAAGAAAGAGGAAGGGAGAGAGTAGACAGCCTTGTCTAACTCCGGTCGTTACTTGGAATGAATCTGTCAGCTGTCCTCCATGCACTACTTTGCACTGTGGTCCGTCGTATGAGTTCCGGATAATATTGACAATCTTCTCAAGAACTCCGTAGTGTTGAAGAAGTTTCACAAACGTCCTCTTTTCCACATTGTCAAATGCTTTTCATAATCAATGAAGTTGATGTATAGTGACGAGTTCCACTCAACTGACTGTTCGACGATGATCCGTAGTGTCGCAATTCGGTCTGTGCACGACCGCGTGGAAAACTAACTCGTAAAAAAAACGCTAATCATAAAATGTGGAAGCCATATAATAAATGCTTTATTTGTAAATCTTCCATCAACTGTCCTTTACATTCCGTTTAATTGTTTCAATTTACAATTCTTTTCTATTCCCCTTTCTGCTTTCTTCAATTCGATCTTCTTAGCCTTGTGCTACTAGTCATTTAACTTTTGATTGATGTTACGTACTACTTATGTCTGTTGACAGATATAAGTAGCATACATTACAGTTTTAATCACTTAATAAGTTAGTTGAACCTCATGTAAAACATATTTTTATTTCAATTTCAAATTTATTTTACGGGTGAAGTTTCCTTGTCTCAACCTGGAAAAAATGTATACCTCACTAGTAGTAGATGTGGTATATTGTGATCAAGGGAACTGAATTAATAAAACTGTTGATCAATCATGAGTGATCTATTCTATAACCTCTGTGGTTGCAAAACATTGTGATGTTCTTTTAAAATAATGACTGGTAAAGGTATACAAATGAGAGACCATTAGAATTCAATTGTACATGAACAAAAATTACTTGCACAAAAAATACTGAAAAATCAAGTGATCGCTCCATATATTTTAGAAACTGAACATGAACCAGTGGGATGATAAACATTAAAGCCGATATATTTTGGTTTAAGAATAGTAGAAATTAAATTAAATTTTCATTTTGAGGTTATGGAGATGGTTAAATTTCATTGAAATCATGGAAGCTAGTTGTAAGACATCATGGATTGATTGGGTTTTGCAAATTAACACCGTTAGATGCCGGATCAGTGGTCTAGAGGTTATGTGTTCGCACGCGATATCTAATGTCCTGTGTTCGAATCCTGCGTGGAAGATTATGGATGGATGCTGCTGAGGAGTCCCATACCAGAACGAATCGGCCGTCCAGTGCTTTCAGGTTTTCAATAGCGGTGTAAAATTGATTGGTTCATGAATTTAATGTAACTAATTTATTACCAAGAAATCAAGGAGTTTTCTCTATTTCAATATCTGTTCATTCCCACAAGTAAAATGAATATTTTAAAACAACTAGTGTTAAGTCATTATAGTTTTGGAGGTTACACTAACATGATCCATCCGATATTCGAGTGATTCATTCTTACGTTGATTTTAAGACAATATATTAAAGATATTTAGCAATAATGTCATTGAAACGCTTATGAAACACATACTAAACGGGATACTTCATTAAATCTCTATTCACACAAACATTAAGGCTACGAAGGTTTCTTTGATTTACCATGGTAGTAAACTGGGTTGGCAACGTTGTTTATTATGCAACTATTTCAAATAAATAGATCGAATTATTATTATTTTTCAGTTACAATGAAAGTGATAAGGTCTCAGATTGTAAAGCTGAATAATGTGAATTCAGAAACCAACAGGTAGCAAGCGTTCCTCAGCTGATTCAGGCACGTTTCGCTGATGACCAACAAGTACCACGAAACTTAGGTTCAGAGTTACCTATTGAGTAGTTCCAACTTCTTAGCAAAGCGCGAACACTTCAAAATTAAGAAAACTACGAGGTCAACCAAATTTCATTAGAAAAAGGAAGCTTGTAGCTGTAAGTAAATAAGAACATTTGATCACAAGTGTAAATATATAGTGAATGAGAACTCAGATAGGGAAAACTAATCTATAGCTTCGTGCGAAATACACAGTGGTTTGATAAAATATGAAAAAAACGTATATTAAATATATTATTTGCATATCTTTCTCCATTTGCCATTCAATTACTCCATCATTCTTCTGATTCTGTTGCTATTTCGACTGCTACCTGTATCCCTTCCTACTCTCTTTAAATCAATATTTTGTTTGCAGGCACTGCACTTCCGATTGTGAGCACATACTACTTATTCTTTATTCTCTTTCTCTTTTTTCTGGTGTTCTTAACCTTCTACTGCCAGACATTTCACTCTCGATTGATGATATATACTACTTATATCTGTCGACATCAGTAGCACACACCACAATACTACTTATATCTGTCAGAATAAGTAGCATATATCTCTAATACATCACTAATCAGTAATGAATGAAAGAAGTAACTATGAAAAATTCATATTAACTTTTATAGAGTCTACTGGTGATGTTGATACATATATTCTTTCTTTGATTTCAGCATCTAGTGCTTATGCTCAATTATGCTTTCGAGTTTTTGATCAATGCCAAACAGGACAATTAACATTTGAGGTTAGTTAGTTATTTAATTTTAAAATATATTCGAATAAATCTAAGTCGTTTTGATCACTTAATTTCTCATTTGGTATTCTTACATTGATTTATTTAAATAACATATATTATCCATACAACTATAGTTAGAAATACTTTACCCTTTGGTATTTCGAATAAGGACATTCGTCTAAGTTTAATCGATTAGTTTCACAGTATTTGGACGCTGAGTAGATGTAAGACATGTAAGAGGAAGAATGTAATTGTAAAATCTCAGTGAATGAATTTGAAGTAAATCTAATTTTCTCTTGGTTATGTTTGATATTTCTACCTGAAGTTTGTGTTGATGATATTGTTCAGAAGAATAACAAAAGCTGCACAACAAAACTATCCAGCTCAAAGAATAAAGCTTCATTAAAACCTTTGAAAATTAGCAGACATTAATTTGTTAATATCATTGATGAACACGGTGAATCTGATGCAGATGTGAAGACGCGGATTAACAAAGCAAGAGGAACATATCCACAAGTGAAGAACATCTGAAACTCAAAACAACTGTCAGTCAACTAACACCGAATTCACAAATTTCAATACAAATGTCAAGACAGTTATACTATATGAAGCGGAAACTTGGAGAACTACAAAAGCCATCATCTAGAAGATACAAATGTTAATTAACAGTTGTCTATGCAAAATACTTCGGATCCATTGACCAGACACTATTAGACACTGACAACCTACTGTGTGACAGAACAAACCAGATTGCCATGGAGGAAGAAATGAGGAAGAAGTGCTGGAAGTGGATAGGACACTCACTGAGGAAAGCACTCAACTGCGTCACAAGGCAAGCTCTCAATTGGAATCCTCAAGGCCGAAGAAAAAAAGGAGGACCAAAGAACACATTACGTCGAGGAATGGAGACAGACACGCAAAGAATGAACAATGATTGGATAGAACTAGAAAGGGAGGTCCAGGACAGAGTGAGTTGGAGAATGTTGGTCGTTAGCCTATGTTCCATTAGGAGTAAGTAAGTAAGTAAGTGATTTGTTAACATTCAAGAAAAGCTAGTAAAGTAAAACAAGAATGTATACGTCATTTTAACAATATGCATCTAATGAATTGATCACGTTTGAACATTTTTTTTCTAACATTCAATTTCATATCTTATAGTTCATAAAGAAAAGGGAAAATTGAATCATAACGAAGTAAATAATGAATGGTATGAAATACTAAGTTAGATGATAAGTAAATCACTTTGATTTTCTAAAGACCAGTAACTAGTTGGTATCGAAGTGATTATTAGTAAATTTGTTACTATGTAAATAAACATTTATTTTCTTAATTAAATCTTATCTAATTAGTTTACCGAAAAACTGCTTAGCAATACTTAAAGTGAATTAGATCTGATTAAATAAATCTTGTTTGATTTGTATAGCTTATTTGTAATTTAATGTTTTCCTGTGAGATGGCGGAGAAGATTTGTAGCTTAGGTGGATGATTTTGATGGAGGTTTGTTCTCTGAGCTGGATGGTTTGGTCGTACAGCTTTCATCGTTCTTCTCAAATTCAGATAGAAGTTTGTACGGATGATGTCGTTCAGAAGAACGATGAAAGCTCCACGACCAAACCATCCAGCTCAGAGAACAAAACTCCATCAAAATGTTTTCCTGTTTATGACATGAAGTAACCTTATCAAGTTTAGATATAAACACATATATTATATGAAATTTTCCAAAAGAATAACTAAAGTGTAGTCAATAATGATTATTGATATACTGCTTGAATAACTGGGCTACTTGTTCCTGGCATTTATATATATTTCAGCAAGTTATCTGTAGTTTTTGTTTGTTTTAACGCATTTTTATGTCTATTAATCGCATAACCTATTGAGGCGCGTTTATAAATTCGATTAGAACCTTTCGCTTTACAGGTTACCAAAAATTATCTATTTGTTTATTGATTTTAACACATAAATATTGGTACAAATGAGCGCTGAATACACATACGCTATACAAGTCACTTGAATTGTGTATGAGTTTTGATACTGCTCGAGTGCCCAGACAGAAGAAGGTGGTTTTTTAAAGGGGTCACACCCCAAGCCATTATCTAAAAGTCTAATCCGCAAACCAGTGAAGTAACGTAAGGTGATGTAGTTTCATGGTAACCAGTGACTAACAGTTGGTTCATACTCCACTTGTTCCTTTTGGATCCTGGATCCCATGTGGACCATAGGTCTGAAATCAGTGTTTTCTAATTTCCCTAGGTGGATCCTCAGTATCCACCAACCCGGTAGGACTTCCCTGACAAAACATTACGAGCAGAGCTATCGTGATGGCTGGTAATATTGATGGAAAAGAATGAATATTATCCAGATGTTGATTCCTGAACTGCTAACATCTACCTGGTGACCATTAAATATTTATCATCAGGATCGATGAAGAAAGAAGAAAAGGAAACTTATTGAGATACTTTGTGTTGAGGATTCTATATTGTACTAAAAATATAATGTTGAGTAAAGCCTTTGGTAATAATAATAATAGTGATAATGATAATAATAATAGCCATTTCAGTATTTATTATTTCTAAATTATATCCATTATATTAAAACTGAATGATTACTTACTTACGCTTGTCACTCCAAATGGAGCATAGGCCGCCAACTAGCATTCTCCAACCCACTCTGTCGTGGGCCTTCCTTTCCAGATTTGTCCAATTTTTCTTCGTTCCTCTCATGTCTGTCTCCATTTCTCGACGTAATATGTTCTTTGGTCTTCCTCTTTTTCTTTGGCCTTGACGATTCCAAGTGAAGGCTTGCCTTGTGACGCAGTTAGGTGCTTTCCTCAATGTTTGTTCTATCCATTTCCAGCGCTTCTTCCTGATTCCTTCTTCTAATGGGATCTGGTATGTTCTCTCACACAGTAGGTTGTTGCTGATAGTGTCTGGTCAATGGATCCGAAGTATTTTGCGTAGACAACTGTTAAAAACTGAATGATTATTGCATAATAATGTTTATATTTGTTTAGTATCAGATACTGTTTGTATTATGTCAGATTGATCACTAGTCTTGAAAATTTAGCCTTATATTAGATATTAATTACTTACACCTGTTACTCCTTGTCGACGAGCATGGGCCGACCACCAGCATTCTCCATCCAAACCTGTCCTGAACAATTCTTTCCACTTGTTTTCAGTTGCTGTTCATCCTTTTCATATTTGATTCCGATTACCGACACAATGTGTAATTTGGCCTTCCATTTTTCCATTTTTCTTCATGATTTCAAGTTAGGGCTTGGCTCACGATGAAGTTTGGTGATTTCCGTATTGTATGTATCATTCAACTCCATCGTCTTTTCCTAATATCTTCTTCAGTTGGAAGTTGGTTTGTTCTCTCCCACAGTAGGTTGTTACTGATGGTATCCGGTCAACGGATATTGATTATCTTGTGTAGACAACTGTTTATAAATACTTGTACATGTTTGATGATAGTTGTAGTAGTTCTCCACATTTCAACTCCTTACAGTCAAACTGTCTTGACGTTTGTATTGAAGATTGTGACTTTGATATTGGTTGAAAGACAATTGTTTTGACTTCCATATGTTCGTCAACTGTAGTGATGCGGTCCTTGCTTTCCATACATTCTACCGTTTAAATATGTTAAAAACAAAGTAATTTAGATAAAATGAAACAAATTTTACAATTACCTATATTAACTATTATGACATTATCATGATTATTTACAGTTGAATTCGATTAATGTTGATAATTTAATTTTAACACTAATATTTATTTGAGATCATGAGCCAATTGGTGTTAGACCATCATTGAAAACCTGGAAGCACTGGACGGCCGTTTCGTCCTATCGTGAGACTCCCCAGCAGTGAGCATCCACGATCCCGCTCGTGGGATTCGAACCCAGGGCCTTCAGTCACGCGTGCGAACGCTTAACCTACTGGACCACTGAGCCGGCATCCAACGGTGAGAAAATTTTCGGAGTTCTGGTGAGAAGCCGTGATCAGTGTAGCTAATCCGTGTCGGGTAGAAACAGGTATCTACCTCAGTACAATAGAAGATAGTTGCGCAACTTCGTGGATTGGTTGAGGTTAGACATTAACACCAGTGGTTCAGTAGGTTGAGCGTTCGCGCGTGAGACTGAAGGCCATGGGTTTGAATCCCGCGAGTGGGATCGTGGACGCACACTGCTGAGGAATCCCATAGTAGAACGAAGCGACCGTCCAGTGCTTACAGGTCTTCAATGGTGGTCTAACATCAATCGGTTGATGATCTCAATCAAAAACTTAACAATATCCACAACCCTTAAATTGATAACTAATATTTATTATAGATTTTTATCAAGTGATGTTTGTTATTAGTTTATATATATAAATAACTGATTATAGACCTTTCTTTATATTCTATTCTACTTTATATATCCAGCAATTTGCCTGTGGTCTATCACAATTAGCAAAAGGTTCAAATTTAGATAAAATTAAATGGATATTTAGTTTATATGACATTAATGGAGATGGTTATATAAGTAGATCAGAATTAAAAGAAGTTATACAAGCTATTTATGATTTACTTGGTGATAAACTACTCACTGGTAACATTGTACAAGCTATTGAAGATAGAGTTAATACAATGTTTAATGTAAGTTAATAATTCTTTAATTAAACGAAGTATATCAATCAAAGTACTGATTTCTTTATGTAATCTATATCTTGTTTTTAGATAGAAAGACATTGAATATATGTAAATAAAGCAATACTGGGCAACTGTTCTTTATTCAAATATAAAAGTGCCTGTACACATCTATCTATTCTTCAAGAATCGAAGCTAGTACTGAAACAATTGGCTATAATATTAAGTTATTGGTTTGAGTTAATCAGGGAAATTATTTTTATTAGAGAGGGGTCTTGTGGAGATTGTAATAAGTTAACAGTTGAAATCATGAGTCAGTTAAAGCTAGACTAGTATGAAAAACTTGGAAGTACTGGACGGCCTTTTTATCTTAGTACTGGACTCCTCAGCAGTGCGTATCCACGATCCCGCTCCATGAGATTCAAATAGGAGACCTATCGGTATAGCGACAGTTGCGTAATTTCATGGATTGGTTGAAGTTATACATTAACACCGTTGGATACCGAACAACTCAGTAGTCTAGAAGTTAAGCAATCGCGTGCGAAATCGATAGGTCTTAAGCTCAAATCTCGCGACGCGGTTTCGTGGATGCGTAATGCTGACGAGTCTCACACTAAGATGAGACGGTCATCCAATGCTTCCATATTTTTTTATGATGCTCTAGCTACAATTGACTCATGAATTCAACTAGTAAATACATTAATTCTTTATAAAGACAACTGTTTTAAATTCTTAACGAAACAATCAACATTGGGAATAAACTAAGATTTTAAATGAAAATTGATTTGGGAAATTCAAAGAGTTTTAAAAACATTGTAGACGTGTGTTTCGGAGGAGAAAAACTACTAATTAACTGATATCTCTTACTGGTTAAAATCATGATTCAATTGAAGCTAGACCACCATGGAAGACCTGGAAGCACTGGATGGCCGTTTCGTCCTAGTATGAGACTCCTCAGTAGCGCGCATGCACGACCTCACCCCCTGCGAGATTCGAACCCAGGATCTACTTGCTTCGCTCGCGAGCACTTAACCACTAGACCACTGAGCCGGCATCCAACGGCGTAAATATCTAGCTTCAACCAATCCACGAAGTTGCGCCACCGTACACCATTGTCTTCAGTGAGCTGATATTTCACAACTATTGAAATTACTAAAATCTCCACAAAACCCCTTCCGATGATATTTTTAAACAATGGAAAAATTTATTTTCTGATCTGATAAAATAAAATAAATAAAAAATAGAATAGAATATACAGGAACATTTTATGAAATAAAACAATGTATTCAAACAAGATGCCAGATGTTATACTACTTCATGATATTTAGTTAGTCAGTGTGGAGATTAACAAACGTTCAAGTTTTATAAGCAATGATGATTAGTGGTTAGTAGTGGAATATAGAGTGCACGTTTCGTCCTATTCGGGACTTGTCAGCTGAATATATCTACATCTTTGAATGGAAGTTCACTTTGGGACTCGTAACCAATACTGTTCGATTCACGTTATCCTATTAGTTACTGAGTTTGGATAAAGCTTGTGATTTAAGGTAATATTGAAACAGTCTATTCAAGATGCATATATGCCAACAAGACACTGAACAATTGTAGATTGAAACAACAATATGAAGAAACAAGTAAACAATACTAAGTGAATTTAAACTTTCAATTACTTGTTATGATGTTTATGCTAAACAAAAGTTGTATTATTTTTAAATACTTTATCGCTATTGGAAACGCACTAAATTTATATGACAGAAAATTTTAAAAAAAGTTCATCAATTTAAATAAATATCTGAAATCCATCAACATAATTAATAAACTATCAGTATAGAGTTGTAAAGATTATTAAGTTATTGATTGAGATCATGAACCGCTTGATATTAGAGCACCAGTTAAAGCCTGGAAGTATTAGACGGCCGTTTTGTCCTATTCTGGAACTTCTCAGCACTATGCATCCACAATCCCATTCGTGGAGTTCGAACCCAGGACCTTAATTCTTTCGCGTACTCACTCCTGAAAAGTCCTATACTAGAATAAAACGATCGTTCAGTGCTTCTCGGGTTTTTTGAGGGTGATCTAACTTAAATCGACTTATGAATCCAACTATTAAATTATTTCACAATTAAAAATAAAATTTTACTATATTAAGAACCATACCAAAATGTTATATCAGATAAATTGCATAGGAAGAGATAACAATAAATCTTCGAAGAGCAATAAATCGCAGAAAGTTTACATTGTAAGGGTTAAGCGATTTGATACAAACCAATAAATTACAATATATAACTACTTAGTTTTCTAAACAATCATATTACTTTAAATCTGTTTATGACAGTTGAGTAGTAACTAAGTACATGAAGAGATATATGATATTGAATGATTTTGTTTCCATAACAACTATCATATTCTTTGAATTTTTTTGTTTTTACAGAAGTATGATCTTGATCATGATGGTAAAATATCAAAAGATGAATTTTTTAGTGTTTCTACACAAGTAAGTTTGTAGTTTGTGTTTGTTTTGAAAAAAATTTTTTTTTATTTTTCTAGGATCCTGATTTTATAGCAAATTTAAGTTTATTCGATACAATCACATAGTCAATATGGAAGATATAAAACTATTATGATCTTTAAATGATCATTATCATATTAATCAATCAATAGGAAACACTTATAAAATGATACAATGTAAATATCAAAATATGAAGTGATTAGAATGAAACATGGAACAGTGAATGACCCCCCCCGTCCTGCCACCCGAAAAAAAATTATTCTTTCAGACATTGATACACTATTACATCAGATAACAGATTACACTATGGTTATATTACATAATCAATTGATATTTCAACTTACTTAGTTGAATGCCGAATCTTTTCTTTTTCTTTTCTTTTCATGATTTCGTCAATGTTTCATGTAATTGAATGAAGAGAAGAAAAATTATTTTATGAAAACTTATGTCTTCTGATGTTCTTTTTTTAAGTTTCTCTTTGTAAAATAAGGTTAACATTAATGGCATGGTAATTATGATTCCCTATCATCGATTGATGAGAAAATTTTAGGGTGTGTGATTAACAAAAAATCGTAGGAATTAGTGATTGGTGAACTTGTTTTGAACTCATGAGTTGATTGAAAGTAAACTACCATGGAAAACCTGGAAACACTGGATGACCGTTTCGTCCTGTTGGGAGACTTCTCAGCAGTGCGTATCCACGATCCTGCCTCGAGAGGTTCGAACCCAGAACCTATCATTCTCGCGTGCGAGCGCTTAACCACTAAACCGCTAAACCAGTTTCCGGGTTTTCCATGATGATCTAACTTCAATTGACTCATGAATTCAACTATTAAATTACTATAATATTCACAAAATCCCTTTCTGATTATAATCATTCTATGCTCGCTAATAATGGTCTCCAAGTGGTACTTCATGGAGTTTTCATGAGAAGCCGTGACCATTGGAGTTCAACTATGTCTGCTGTGAGATAGTAACTCACTGAAGACAATGGTGGATGTGTCGTTCAGTTTCGTGGAGTGGTTATAGTCAGACTTCTATACCGTTGGATGCCGGCCAGCTCAATCGTCTAGAGGTTAAGTGTTTTCTCACGAAACTGATAAGTCCGGGGTTCGAATCTTTTAAGGTGGGATGGTGGATGTGCACTGCTGAGGAGGCTCACAATAGGGTCAAACGACCATCCAATGCTTCTAGGTTTTCCATGATGGTCAAGCTTCAATTGACTCATGATCTCAACTATTAAATTTGTTAATTGGCTGTAAATGGTGCATCTTTCTAATCTGATTAGTTCAAATTCAAATAGCATCAAGTGCTTTGATTAGACGTTATAATTTGCATTTTATCATTTAAATTTTATTTCGAATAATAAATTCTGTCTGATTGTTCCGGGTTTTGATAAACAAAATTTAATTCCTAAAAAAACAGACACCAACTCTATTTGATTGCCGTGCTCTATTTTCCTGTAAATTAGGATAAACGTAGAAGTGGAACTGGGGTTGTTAGTTTTAGTGACAAAAAATAACATGTATATAATTAAATGAAAATTGGAGAAAAACTGATAACTGTTTCTATAATAGTTAATAATAGTGATTGCTGAACTTGAAAGACAATCAAATGTCTGATACATAATTACTTACTTCCTTTACGCATGTTACTCCTTGTACAGGAGCGTAGGCCGCCTACCAACACCTTCCACTCAACTCTACCCTGGGCAGTTCTTTCCAGCTCTTTCCAGTTGTTATTCATCCTTTTCATATCTGATTCTATTTCCCGACGTAATGTGTTCTTCAACTTTCCACTTTTCCGTTTCCCTTCAGCATTCCAAGTTAGGGCTTGTCTCCTGATGTAGTTTGGTGATTTCTGAAATGTATGATTTATCCATTTCTGTTGTCTTTTCCTAATTTCCTCCTAATGTCGGGGCTGGTTTGTTCTTTCCCACAGAAGACTATTACTGATGGTATCCGGCCAATGGATGTTGAGTATTTTGCGTAGACAATTATTTATAAATATTTGTACATGTTTGATGATGGTTGTAGTGGTTCTCCACATTTCAGCTCCTTACAGTCGAACTGTCTTGACGTTTGTATTGAAGATTTTGACTTTGATATTAGTTGTTAGATAGTTGTTTTGACTTCCATATATTTTTCGATTGTAAGAAACCAAATGTATATACTACGTTAGTTATGAAGTTAGCTTTTAAGCATTGATTGTTCATTATAATTACATTGAATAACTCGAAGTAGATTTAATATAATGAATAAATGTATTAAATTAAATAAACTAATTAATATTTGGAATATTTTAAGTAGTATATAATTAAATATACTAAATATAGGTTTATTGTAAATAAAATATTTGCAATATAATTAAGATTTCACTTCAGAAATCAATTGAATCAAGAACTTTAATAATTTTGAGATGGTGGACAAGATTTGTAGCTCAGGTGGATTATTTTGATGGAGTTTTGACTTCTATATGAAGTTTATGCTGATGATGTCGTTTAGGAGAGCGATGAAAGCTTCACAACCAAATCATCCAGCTCAGAGAACAAAACTCCATCAAAATATAATAGTTTAGCTGAAACAGTTTATAAAATGAACTTGGATCATATGATATTAATATTTTGTAAATTCAGTTAATTGATCAGTTAAGTTATATCATAATCACATTGAAAATTTACTCTTACTTAAAATGGAATTATCAATAGGGTATAGGGAAGATTGTTAAAGTTTATCAAACTCATTAAATGATTCGAGTTAGATGATTTGAGTTAGAAGAACTTAGATCCCTATTCCTAGTAGTAAGTGTTCATGAACTTACCACTTTGGATCAAAATCAAGAACTTGATACTTGCTGAAGTATGAATTAATCCCAGAGGACAAAAATAGTGAAACTGAGTTTATTAATAGTGTTAAGATTTATCACTATATCATGATACTGAGTATTATCTTGAACAAGATGAACAGATTATTCAAGGATCTATAAGATCCTTGAAAATAATCATAATTTAATCTGAACTTTTCTCATGACTACCAATCAATACAACATTCTTTTAATTATTAAATAGTAGTGCACATTATGATACAACTTTCTCATGTATATGTATGCTATCAAGTTGACACTTGAGTTATAAAAACTCAGAACTATGTCATTGTTGCCATTCAATAGATGACCATTTATTTCCATAAATAGTCATTGATGTTTATTTATTTATTTATTTGAACACATAAATATTGGTACAAGAGGGCACCGAATAAATATGCGCCACACAAAACAGTGGGAATTTGAAGAGGAGAAGGAAAAAAGGTAAGGAGCGTTAAAAAAAGAGCAATAACGAACAGAATAAGGTAAGATAACGTAATAATAATGATAGTGGGCGTAACGAAAAGGTACAATCAGAAGAAATCTTTCAGTTAAAAAAGAAGCAACCACTTTTATGAAGAAAGTAAAAGGTTACAGCAGGATCGCCACTGGCTTCTATTCTGGGTCATATTTGATAACGTCTCTAGCCACTGTGTTGCACCATCTCTCGGACCCCAGCCAGGGAGTCATGAAGGACCAGCACAAGCCAGCCCATTGCAGCTTTCTTTCATACCACGACACCATGTCATACACTGACCACCTTTCCGCTTTTTCCAACCAGTCCCAGCGTCGACAGATAATGCACGACGTGGAATTCTCTGGGACGACATTCGTAGAACATGTCCATAACACCGAAGTCAGTGTTTCGAGATGGTGACACCGATTGCATTATCGTCTCTGTGCCCGAACACACGATGCCGAACCTCTGTATTACTGACATGGTGTTGCCACTGAATGTCAGCAATCCTTCGGAGACAGCGATGATTGAACACAGCGAGTCGTCTAACATCTTCAACTCGGAGAGACCAGGTTTCACAAGCATAGAGCAGAACTGCTTTCACCGACGCGTTGTAGATCCGACCTCTCACAGACAGACTAACATCACGAAGGTGCCAAAGGTGGCCCAGATTGGTATAAACCGCTCTGGCTTTCAATATATGTGCATTGATCTCATCGCTCACGCCACCTCATTAATGTTTTCTGTCAGTTGTTTGAATAAACTAGGCAGCATATACAGTTTATACCTCATTCATTTTATCGTTAATTATATCATCAAACGTTGTTCATTCAGATGTCTTTTAGATTTAATCTGGTATATTTGTGAGCCATTCATGCTTACAAAAATATAAATCTATTTATGTCCATAAGAAAAATTCAAACGCCCATCTCTAGATTTGACTGACTTTATCACCTGTGTCCTTTAAATATATAACTTATAACGTTACATTGAACTGACTATTCGGTATGAAAGTAATTACATAGAAATCTCTTATCAAATTTTACTGAGATTTTCTGTAATTTTGTATTTAAATACATACGATCGTCCTACTTGTGTTCTCGTTCGCTACAAGATCATCTAAATATTTCGCAGCTAAACAAAAATAGTTGTATCAGAAATGGTTTTGTGGATATTATAGTAATATTAATAGTTGAGATCATGAGTCGATTGAAGATAGACCTCCATGGAAAACCTAGAAACGCTGGACGACCGTTTCGTCCTATTGATAGACGTCTCAGCAGTACGCATCCACGATCCTGCCTCACAAGATTCCAACTCAAAACTCATCAGTTTCGCGAGCAAACACTTAACCACTAGACCATTGAACTGGCCAGTATCCAACGGTATCGATGTCTAACTTCAACTAAACCATGAAATTGAGCGATACATCCATAATTATCATACATAATGCATGATATCTAATAGTTCTATAATCTTTCTTTAATAAATTCATCACACTAATAGTTTCTCACTTCAAATATTCATTGAATATACTACATTTCATACTTATTACATCAAGTACTTTTTTTACCATCTAACTAAAACCTTAACAAACAAAACTATTCTAAACCCTACTTTCTTCTCAAAATGAATAATCAATCTTTTATTCATGGATCCAAAACAAAAAAACAAAAAAAGAAAGAGAGAAAAAGAAAAATGAAGTCTAGTAACTAATACATATTGAATTCATTAGACCAATTAAACTATTCATTATTTGTCTGGAATATATAAATGTATGTGTATGCATGTGGGTGTGTATTCTTCTTCTTTCTTTCTTTCTTTACATTTTCATTTAAGTATTTCGATTTAAGGGTACTTCTTATTCACAACGATTGAATGTGCTTTGAAAGAGGATTATATGTATATGAAAAGAGGTTTTCTTATGAATGAAGAAACAAACTAAAAAAGTTATGTTTTTCTTTATTAAAATAAGGGTTTATGGAAGTTATATAGTAATTTTATTGATTGAATTCATGAATTGATTTAAATTAAACTACCCTAGAAAATTTGAAAGTACTATACAGTTGACAATGGTCATTGAGATATGATGCACAGTTGTTTCGTCCTTGTATAGGATTCCT